GAGGATTCGACCTTGGATTACTTCCGAGTATTACTTGTGACCGTGTGCGCTTGCACGAGTCTCTAATCTTTTTAAAGGTAGAGAAAATCCCAACAGAAGCCAAATGGCAAATGGCGAATGTGCATCGACTTTACGAACCTAAACAAAGCTTGCCCAAAGGATTCTTTTCCTTTACGTCGTATAGATCAACTAGCCGACGCCACCACTGGACATGAAAGATTGAGTTTCATGGATGCCTACTTCGGGTATAATCAGATTAAGATGCATCTATCGGATCAGGAGACAACCTCCTTTGTCACAAATCGATGCCTATATTACTACACAGTAATGCCCTTCGGGTTAAAGAATGCAGTCGCGACTTACAAACGAATGGTAAACTGAATGTTTGCGACATTGATTGGCAGAAATATAGAGGTCTACGTAGATGATATGTTAGTAAAAAGTCGGAAAAGCAATCAACACGAAGCAGATCTGGCAGAGACATTTGTGGTTTTGAGGAAATACAAGATGAAGCTGAATCCCAGCAAGTGCACGTTTGGGGTGACCTCAGGGAAATTCCTTGGATTCTTGGTACATCAACGAGGAATTGAAGCCAACCCAGAGAAAATCAAAGATGTGTTGCTAATGAGTCCCCCTATAAATTTAAAGCAACTGCAAGGGCTTAACGGAAGGATAGTGGCACTCAACAGGTTCGTTAGTCGCTCAACCGACAAATGTCTGTCATTCTTTAAAGTCCCAAGGAAAAAAAAAAGACAATTTGAATGGACAGAAGAGTGTGAGACTGAGTTCAGGGAGTTAAAGCAATACCTAAGGACAACCCCACTCCTCTCAAAACCAGTCACGGGAGATGAACTCTACTTGTACCTAGCCGTATTCGGCCCCGCGATAAGTTTGGCATTGATAAAGGAGGAAAACAGGCACAATCTTCAATCTACTACACCAGCAAAGCAATGGTTGGGGGAGAAGTAAGATACCATCAAATGGAAAAGCTGACATTGGCATTAGTTACCTCGGCTCGGAGACTACGCCCATATTCCCAAGCCCACAGGATAACCGTCCTCACCAACTTCCCTCTACGGCAGATTTTGCAAAGGCCCGAGACTTCTGACCGACTGGTAAAATGGGCTGTGGAGCTCAGCGAATACGACATCCACTACAATCCGAGAACTGCAATGAAGGGGCAAGTCGTAACGGACTTCATAGCAGAATTAACACCGATAGAACATCAAGTATGTAGCATCGTTCCACATGCCGATGAAGCAAAGCGGCCCTGGACCTTGTACGTGGATGAGTCCTCAAACTTTAGAGGCTGCAGGGCGGGACTTTTGTTAGTTTCCTCAGATAGGGAGAGGTTCGAATATATGTTGCGATTTAGTTTCCACGCCTCCAACAACGACGTTGAGTATGAAGCTCCACTAGCGGGATTGAGAGTAGCCAGGTATATCGGAGTCACAAACATATTAATACTTAGTGATTCACTGTTGATTGTGAGTTAGGTGAAAAAGGAACTCCAAACCAGAGAACCACGGATGGCGAGGTACCTTTCTCGAGTAAGAGACCAGCTCTGACAATTCTCAAAATACGAGATCCGGCAGATTCTGCGTACCCAGAATGTCAATGCATTTACATTATCACGGCTGGCGGCAGCCTATGAAACCAACCTAGGAAGAACTGTACCAGTAGAAAATTTACCCGAACTGAGCATAGAGGTCCAAGAGGCAATGGATATAGGCGAACCAACCCGAGAAGAACTGGATGAACCCTTTGATCGAGTATTTAAGGGATGAGACCCTACCTGACGAAAAGGTAGAGGCCCAGCAACACCAATGGCGAGCAGCTAAGTATGTGCTTAAAATTGGAAGCTTGTATAAAAGAAGCTACTCTTTGCCACTTTTAAAGTGTTTAGCACCAGAAGAAGCCGACTATGTTATGAGGGAGATAAACGAAGGCGTTTGTGGCATTTACATTATCATGGGGCACGATCCTTGAGCCACAAAATCATCCGACAAGGGTATTACTGGCTGACCATGCTAAGCGATGCAACGCAGTTCACGAGGAAATGCGACAAATGTCAGCGGTTCGCAACAGTGCCTAGGCAATCGCCAGAGCCATTAACTAACATAATAAGTCCCTGGTCATTTGTCCAATAAGGAATAGACCTCATGGGGCCCATCCCACAAGGAAAAGGCTAGACAAAGTTTGCAGTGGTAGCAATTGATTATTTCACCAAATGGGTTGAGGCTAAAGCCTTAGCGACAATCATCGAGAAGAAGATCACCGACTTTATTTGAAAAAGCATAATTTGTCGCTTTGGGATACCCTACACCATTATCAGTGATAGTGGAAAACAATTCGACAATACAACTTTTCGGAACTTTTGCCGAGAATTGGGTATGAAGCACATCTGCTCTTTGCCAGCACACCCACAAGCTAACGCCCAGGTCGAAGCAGTTAACAAAATCATCAAAAGAACTCTAAAGACCAGATTAGAGAAGCTTAAGGGGCGGTGGGTGAAAGAAGTTCCCAGTGCGCTATGGGCCTACAGAACAACACCCTGCACATCAACTGGTGAAATACCATTTTCATTATCGTTTGGTTCTGAGGCAGTAGTGCTAGTGGAAATCTGACTTCCTTCCCTAAGGGTAGAACGATTTAGTCTACTTGAAAATGACGAGTCTATGCAACTTAACCTCGATCTACTAGAGGAACATCAAGAAGTAGCACAACTACGAACGGTCGGGTACAAAAATCGGATCGCTCGATATTACGACTTAAAAGTCAAGAAGCGTAGCTTCAGAGAAGGCGACTTGGTTTTAAGGAAAGTCATGCCTAATACCAAAGACCCGACCAGCGGGGTTCCCGGACCGACATGGGAGGGCCCATACAAGGTCACCAAAGTGGTTCGGACAGGCACCTATGCCCTAAAATATTCACATGGAAAAATCCTACCTCATCCATGGCATGCATAGCATCTCAAGAAATACTACTATTAGATTGCTGACGCATTCCATTTATTTTATAAGCGACTGTTGCATTTGTTTATGTCAAACGACTGGTTATTTTATTATATTAGAACAATTTTCGTTTTAATGAAAGTTTATACCATTTAACATGATACTTAAGCTCTTATGTTTATGTGAAAACAACTTTCTCAAGTAGGGGGCATTATGCATAAATGGCTATACCGGTCAAGAAACTCAAGAGGGGACAGACCAAAGAAGCAAGCCAGAAAAGGTTCAGCATGGTCAAAACAAAGGCAGGCGAATAGGGTTAGGATATAAAACCATTTGGCGGATGCCAAGCATCTTGGAAATCCAAAGACTTCGACACTAGCCCTTCTAAAGTTAGATCCCAAGGCCCTGGAGACTTGATCACAACCAAGCAATTCGACAAAACATGAAAATCGAAAAGACTTCCAATTCATGAGACAACTCGATGTTGGTACACAACTAATAACAAAAACTGGGCTTTTAAATCCGAAAGCTGGATACAAAAGTTTTTGGTAGAGCTCAGTAAATTAGGAACCTTGGCGTTAGCTAAGAATTTTGTACTAATGACACATATGAACTATTTTTCAAAGCAAGCCTCGTAGCAACCACTGATAATGAATACTCTCAAAACATGAATCTTACTGTGATCACAAATTTCATATTCAATTTTGAGAGTGGGGGCTATTGTTATGGATGGAGAAATACGATAGAAGATTGGACTATGTCAGGAAGGACAACCGAGTCCATCGACAAGCAGAGCCGGCCCAAGGCACGAAAATCGGCCCACCAAGGGGGCCAACCCCACCTCGGCACTGACCCCACCTTTGCGCCAACCCATTCTCGGCCTTGGTGCCGATCCCTTCAACCCTCGACGCTCTCCTTTTTCCCTCTCGGTCCCTGTTTCAAGCGTATGACATTCGGGCCCCAAAGCCAAGCCCTATACCTGTCCTCTACCGACGCTGGAGGTATCCCGACCCAAAGCCCACAAATATCAAATCTAGGGAAGAGGTCACCTCTCAAAGGTAAGCCAAAATTACACACTCAAGTATTTTACTTGTTTATTGATCTCTCCTCTTGCTAACTTAGGCATATATCAGAGTCAGTGTGACTGAGGTCACACCGGGTTAGGGTTTTGTTCAGTTTTGCAGGTGTTTGGTCCCAAAGTACTCGAGTTGGTGAGCGGAGCGGAAAGAACCGGTATACTAGAATCCCAGCATCAACAATATTATCTCCAAGGGATAGCTTAGGTGGCTCAGGGCTTTAAAAAATATTATTGAAGTATTGGATACAAGTCACATGGAATGCAAATGGCCCCTTAGATACTACAATAGACATTTTAATAGTTTAGTGATTACAATGAAACAAACTCAAAAGTTCAAAACACATTTATTTTTTTCACAACCTCTTGGTTGGAGATATATGTCAATTACCGTTGAGCAATGTTCACTTTGACGGTGTCAATCTTTAATGTTTCATCTATGATATCTTCAATACAAACACCTTATTCCACTCCGTTTGGGTGACAGGGACAAAATGTCATATCCCCACCTCTTAGGGAGCCTAAATGAAAACTTCGCTAGGATGGCACCGCAAGGAAAAAATGAACATCTTTAAAGCACCCCTACTAAGAAAGTTCATTCTCAGATGGGTAACAATTCAATCAAGTAATCAGCTTTGTACCATATCAACGTTTTTGATATGGTTGCAAACTATGCAAGGTTAATTAATTTAATTTGTACCCTAAACTTTCAATTTCATCCATTCAAACTCTATGTTTATTATGTATATAAAAGGGTTATATGGAGAAACTTTTTCTGTTTATCTTACCCTTTTAATTTAAACACTTTCATATTTATTTTGGGATAAATTTGTCATTCGATATAAATTTTTCTCTCTCATTTTCTTTCCTCTTTTTCTCTCCCACTCCACTTCTCCCTTTTTTTTCTTTATAAAAATTTTATCTACTTAATGTCTTGTGTTTTCTTATATTTTAGTTTGATTGTTTGATTGAGCATTCAATTTTTAGTTTTTTCTTTTCCAATACAATGTTACTAATTGTTATTTTAAAAAATACTTGATTACCTACAATATACAAGTAATTTATTAAAAAAGTTTAAGAGATGACAAACTTGCTTTTTTTTGTCATTTTATTTTTCAATGACTAAAATAAGAAATCAAAACAAAGGAAATTATTGTTATTGTTTAGGGAAGAAAAAGACGAAAAATCCACGAATATGTGTTTTCTTTATAGAAGAAAATTTAAGTAATTGAATAATAATATTTTTAATCACACTAACTGGATCATGGTGAGAATTATTGAGACGTCTATTTTGTGAGATAAACATGGAAAATCAAAAAAAAAAAAAAATCGGTGAGGCAAATAGTAAGAGATAAAAAAAGTCAAATTATATTAAAAATTTTAAAAATTTAATTAATTTTTATATTTTTAAATATTAAAATAAAAACTATAAAATTTCACGTACACCACATGTATGGTATCATTTAAAATTATTCTATTTTGGTCCATAAATTTTTAAAATATTTTTTTTATTTATAAATAGACATTTTGAAAGGTTGAAAATTACAATAAAACAAACCTGAAAATTGAGGGACAAGGACCAAATCTATTAAACAAAAGGTAAAATTCGCTCATTTTAAAGAAAGTCAACACAAATTCAGGGCCCAACGAATTATTACAGAAGATCGATCGTTCAACCAAAACTAACAAATTTCGACAAATCTAACTTCAATGTCATCTTTCTTTAAAAATCCATCATCTTTGTATTAAATATGTATTTGTACTTCATTGAACATACTTGTAGATATTTTTTTAAACAACTTTCAAACAAAAATTTAAAAATTGTAATATTTATATAGTCTAAAGTCGGAAATTCAAATTTTATAGTAAAAATTGATTTACCTTCCCAAGGTAAAATTATACTTTTTCTTCTTATTTCTATTAGTCAATCCCACATAGTTTAGGTAATTAACATAGACATAGTTTTTTTTTTGTTTGACTACTAGATACAGGAGGCTTTGAACCTGAACTTAGGTATAGTTGAATGATCCAACTCCAACTTTATTGAGCTCAAAGAAAAAAAAAAAAGATGGTCCACATACTTCAAGTAGTCAATATTTTAATCTGTCTCTTTTTAATATCATAATTCCAAGTTTCCACCCTTTAATATAAATTATAATATAATAATTTTGTGAAAAATATTTTTTATTCTTTTCCACCGCTCTATACAAATTAGAATTATTGTGTGAAAATTTCACGGTTTGATTGGATGAAATTTCTCCATTACTAAAAAAAATGATGGAATAAAAGTATCTAGATTAATAGTAATTTAATCTCAAAATTTTAATACATGACAATTTAATCCCTATAATATAAATTTTGTAACAATTTAATCTCTATCCTAAAAATGTGGTTAAGATTTAATAAATAACCAAATATACTTATAAATTACAAATATCAAATCACTATATAAATAAAAATCGTTAAAAAAAATTCATTAGAGATTAAATTGTTCGAAAATATAAAAATTTATTACCTATTAAAATTTAAGAACTAAATTACTGCAGATTAAATCAATTATCATTACAAATTAAAATTCATAAACTAAAACATTACTTCAAGTGACCTTAACTCATTGAAAAAAAAAAAAATAGTAACTGCAAAATCTACTTGCAGGTCTCATCCAGAAGCATATATTTTAGGACTTGTTTGGTTGACCATTGTAGATTTGTTTTCCAAAATTGTTTTCAGAAACATTGTAAGATTTGTTTTTTAAAACTGTTTTCTTATAGATTTTTAATGTTTTCAGATTTTTAATTTGAAATTTTAAAAGGCATAATTATATTAAAATTATATAAAAATTTTGATAAATATATTATTTCAAATTATAAATTCATTTAATTTGTTTGTTAAAATTAAAACATGCAAAATATAATATATTATATATTGTAAATTATATAATATTTTAAAATAATAATTATATAAAATTTATAACAAAATTTTAATAAATTAATTAATATTGTTTTAGATTGAACTTAATGTTTACAAATATATGACTATTAAACAACGTTTAAGAATTTTTTAAATTGAGATTCAATTTCCAAGAACACATATATAAAAATTAAGAATGTTAAAAAAACCAAAACTCAAAAAAGGATCAGATTGGGTTAGATAAAGGATCCCTTTCGATTGAGTTAAATGTCTGTGAATTGATCAACTCAATTCGATTTGCATTTTCAAATCGGTTTTGAATTTCAATATATATATATATATTAACATTATTGTTTAAGTTTTAGGGTTTCCTTTCTCTTCATTTCTGCCTCTTCCATCTCCTCTTTCAAGATTTCCTCTCATCTGACCTCTTTCATCTCCGATTAGATCTCCCGATTTATTCCTCTCATCTGCCATCTCTATATCTATCGTGTATGTGTGAATTGTTAAGTTGGGTTTTATTTAATTAATGCGAGTAGATTTTACCTCTTGTTACTACTGTAGGTTTGTTTGGATTGGAACTTGAAACTAAGATGATTTCTTTGGAAATCTTGAAACTGAGATGACTTTTTTGGATATGGAACTTAAAACTAAAGGGCTTGTTTGGATTGAAACTTGAAACTGAGATGATTTTTTGGATATGGAACTTGAAACTAAAAGCTGCCTGGATGATCTAGAACTTGAAACTAAGAGCAACTCATGACCCAATCCAACCCAATTAAAAAATTTAAGATTGGGTTGGCTATCATATTCAGTTCCACCAATTCTCCAATCTAATCATCCTGCATCGATCTATCTAAACAACCTCCTTAACCCAATCAAACCCATGAACACCTCTGCTGAAAACACTGAAAACAAAACAAAAACATACTCACACATCCTTAAAATCACCAAGTCATATCTAATCCCAAGTTTTAGTTGATCAATCATAAATCATCGAATAACTAACTCAACTTCTATCTTGCATTCAAAGAACAAACACATTTTCGGATTAATATAAAATGTCCTTCCACATACAACTTTTCATCAGCTCATGGGCAAGTAAACTAAACAGTGCCCAATTGCTCCTCAGACTCGGGTTTTCGACAATATAGCCACAGTTGAACAGTATAGAACGTGGGAGGGGCAGGGATAATTATAGAAATAATTAGAATGAGCAAAGGAAGAGACTGATAAAACAGTATTCAAGTATCTGAAGACAATCGTCAATAACGACAACCGAGTTTTGCAAGTCACTCAGCTTTAAAGAGGGGTGGGCACGGTTTTTTTGCCCTCGGGATCTTACATTCATTCAAATCCCTTAAAATAAAAGGGAAAAGAATAAAAACTGACCTAATTAGTTCTGGACAGTGAGAGTTCACGTAACGGTTGAATTTAATGCACATTTTTCTCGGCCAAATTGCTTGCTTTAGTATTTGAAGAAACTTGGTTTTCTTGAATGGACATTCAGCTATTAAACATAAGATCATATGTGCTATTGCCTGTGATCGGGGCGATAGGTGTGTGGTGGTGTTGGCATGTAACCGGGATTGTGCATGGGCATGGAGTAAGGTGCAGCAGGACCACCCGATCCCCATCCTGAAGAAGGCTGAGGCTGCACCCCAGGCTGCTCTGCGGATGGACCATACTGGTTTCCGTTGTATTGATGGGCAGAAGGACCCATCATTTGACCTGGTTGCTGCCCCACGATAGGTGGTTGAGAATTCACCATGGGAGGAGTATTGGGGATTGTATAGTCTCGACTTCGGTCATTATTCACCTACGACAATCACATCAAACTTAGGAACATTCTTCTTTCAATACTGTCAGATTGCATCATATAAGATAGAGAAAAGAGCATTATCTATTCTTGTTTTCTAAACAAGATCTTCACATTTGGTAAAACGGGGCCACAAAGAACACTATTTTAAGCAGAAACATGCATATTATCTCCTCTGTAAAGAGATGTTTGGGGACAAAATTCACCACAGGTTCTTATTACCTTAATACTCAAATCAGTGTGGCGTGAATATGAGATGTGAAGCTTGCAAAACCCTCCATCATAAATACAGTGCCCCTCCAGGGCTTCCTTGGCAACTACCGCAGTCTGAACATCTGTCCACGTGTGGTCCATTATTGATTAACTATGCTTTTTTTAAAAAAGGGCATCATTAAAATAAAAATGAAAGAATACAACGGAACAGCCCTTGAAAGAGGAGCACTATGCTATATACTTCAATTGTAAAACAATAATAAGAATAAGAATATGGATGTAGATTGGAAAATTGAACCACATTAAATACATTGTTATGCCCGTCTTCTTACTTTTTCTTAATATTTCACTTCAAAGTTACTCTCGCTGTCTAAGCATCTAGTTCTTTAGGATAATTTAGCTAGCTTGCAGATTTGAAATTAAAGAATACGGTTGCTACTTATTAAAAAAAAAGTCTACTGTACATTTACACGTAACAGTAAATATATTAATTTCAACAAGATTTCAGTTTGAACGCACTACCTGGATACTGAATCAAGGCCTGCACTCCCCCATTCTTATCAAACATAGCAATCTTTTGGACAGGTCCAAATGCAGAAAAGACCTGCCAACAAACAGAAAATTGTTAGCATAATATAGTAATTTGAATAGAATTATAAGATATGAAGTAATATTTATTAAACACTTTTTACTTATGAAGTCCACAAAAAGATCATTATAATCTTTAAAAATTTCCATATCATGCAATACCATGTGCAAAACATCCAAGGTGACTGCATACTGCATATTCTCAATGGAAGCAAGAAGAACATTACTCTCTGGTTCAAGCTTTTTTCCATCCAATCCCACGGTGAACTGCAAAGGTGACTGACGGCAAATTCAATCAAAGGATGAAAGGGATTTAGAAAAAATAATAAGAGAAAGAAGAATGAAAGAGGAAATGGATGCCAAGTTTTGTACTGAAAGGTGATAGCCAGCACTTGCGTGAAATGTACATCATCATTTTAAGCAATATCTTTTATCACATGCACCTACCTAATGTATGGAAAGGAGAAAATTTACGGGCACAACTCAACAACATGCCACCTAATGCATTCCTTACCTGACCACTTCCATCTATGGCCGATGGAGCAACAGGAAGATAAGGATTAGTGTAGTCCCTGAATCAACATATTATCAGAAGTAGAGAGAGAAAGAGATGGTTATAAAACAGTCATTTAAATTACAAAAATAGATGGCAAAGCAAGACTTTAGCATAAGGTAAATATCAAATAGTAACAAGTGGAATTGTCTTGGCTAATGTGAAAAAAGAACACATTCATAGCCAAATAGATGGAGAAAGTTGGGAAAACCTGCTCCGATGGCTCTGAAATTTCACTGTCAAATCAGTGTGGGCAGAGTATGTGATTCTAAGGGAACATGGTCCAACATTATCAGGAAGCAAATATCTGCAGAGTACCAAAATGAAATAAGAATTTATTGATGATGCCCTATAAAAAAGGAATATTGACATGAGAGAACATAGAACCTCAGCTCTAAATATAGCATTAGTTTAAGTAAGAAGGTCAAATACTACTTGGCAATAATATCACATTTTCAAATTAATTATACAATGTTTTGATCACCAGAAACAAAAAGAATCATAAACACCGGGCTAGTGCATGTGCAGTAGTGCACCTCTTCTACTGCTATATACTCCATAAAAGAGGAGCAAAAAACCATGTCAAACATTCAATACAATTGTCACCTAGGGATGCTTCTCCCATCCAAGGCATTCTTAGCAGACGAGGCAGTCTCAGCATCCGAAAATTGCACCAATGCCTAAAATGATCACATTATCTGAATAAGTTTTTCCCCAAACTCAGAAGTAATAATAGTGCAAATACTAAGAAGATTACAAATGTTATCAGACCTGAAATCCAGCTGTTTTCTCAAAGGTAGTAATTTTATGCACAAACCCAAAGGCTGAAAAGACCTGCATAATACTGGATAACCTTCAGAATGCAATTAACCCAAATGATATCACACCATTCATTACTTTTTCAGGACATAACATAACTATTATATTATTAAAAATTTGCAATCATGCAAATTACTTTACAATTATAACTAAAGCATATATACCAAAATCTCCAAACATTGACCTATAGGGCAGTGGAACATCTATTTAGAAAGCTCCAACTGCCAAACATAGAAAACTTAAATACCAACTCTACCACCGAAAACTAAAATGCTGTTGCAAAAAACAAAAGTAAATGGAGAGCCCTACGGTGGATTTTGCTTCAAATGAGCTTGTAAACTTTTTTCAAGAATAACGTAGAAGTTAAAACTAATATCAAATAATAGGAAAGGCTAAACATATAATGGTATTTGACAGTTAAACATCAAGAAGTACATTTCAACTCCTCTAAGAGAGAATACATGATGAAGCAAAAACACAAATTCAAACAAGTCAGTAATAACTGACTCTCTCAATTGAGGAGAGAGCAACAATTAGTTTGATATAATTACCATCTGTAGGTATAATCTACCCTCCAAATAATCAAAGAAATAAGCTGCAAAATAATTGTTGAAGGGCTCTACAAATTTAATATTCAGCCTATATTTTTGAAACAGAAAAGGCAAAACCACCCCATAAAATTAAAATGCTAAGCCATAAGGAATATCATCTTATTAGTCTTCCATTTAAATCCTCAAATGTTTGTCCATTAGGGCAGAATACTTATATACCGAAAACATATAATCCAAAAATTTAGAGTAAAAATTTCCTATGCTCTGAATCTAATGACTGGATTTACACAGCAGTATCACTGACACATCATGCAGAGATGATAGGGAGAAGGATGCACAAGAGAGCAGAAATGATAATATCCTAAACTGAGAAAGGTAGGAGGAAGTTGAGGAAGAAAAGAAGGGAAGAGAGAGGTAGTGTTAAGGAAAGGAGAAAGGAGACAAACACACATGTGCTCTTTCTCCCGATGCACTAAGCTGCCATCAAAGATATTGCCTTGACAAGGGCCTGCTGATTCATTTACATTCATGTCAAACAAAAGCTTTTGTAACATGACAAACTATAACCTAATCACCATAATTTAATCTTAGTGCCACAGAGGTTCACCTTTAACTGCAACAAGAACGTACTACAATCTGCTTACCAAGTGTAGAACATCAATGCTGACCAGGCGTGCATCAGAACCCTCAATTGTTACCAAAAGCACATTTCCAGGAACATCAGCTGTAGTTTTGTTGTTTACAATCTCTTGCCTGTTGGAATATTGCAGATAAACTGTTTTCCCTCTAACTTGAGCAGGCTCTGAGGATGATGCATAATATGATATCATTGCAATAGCTTGATTTATGTCTGCCTGTAATTTTAAACTTGGTTAAATATTAATCATAATGACAAGTTAGCAAAATCCATTAAAAATGGAAAACAATAGATGGGAAGATATTGCACTTACAAACTCGATAAAAGCTTGATTTCTGTTTGCTCCAACATTACATTTGGTGTTCACAACTTTTCCAAATGGCTTCCCTAGTTCAATCAGTTCCTCTTCAGTGCATTCCCACGGTAGATTCCTCAAATGGAGAACCTTTGACGGAGGTTGGGTATAACGGAACTGTGGCTGACTAGAGACCGAAGCCATTTTCCAAGTAATAAGAGTAAGCTGCAAAATTATAGGCAGCCTTAATATTGTTAAAACTTATAATTCAGTAAACAAAGTTGATCACGATATTCCACATTAACTTATAATTCACTGTGACCATCAACAATTGTATCATGAAACATTTAATTCTACGTTGATGTTAACAAATTAACATCTTCTAGTTAATTGATGTACAAAAGAAGAATATGAGGATGCATAAAATACAACCACACTAGTCAGTGAATAAGATTTTTCATCTCTTAAGATAAGAGCTTCCAGCCATAGCATAAAAATGCACATTTTAGCATCTTCAATTCAAGAGCAAAAAATTATGCGCTAGCACCACAAAGATGGAAGAGGTTTTCGTACATAGACATTGACCAGATAGTAAAGAGAGCTTCTTATTTGGATGTTATTCGGGTCTTAGCTTGCATTTCTATATCTTGCTTCTTCTTCTACTTTTTATTATCCCTCAATTTTAGCGTATGCAATAAAAGTTGAAAATAGTAACAAGGACCAAATAGTTTACATCACTGCAGGTCCAGGGACGAGCAATCGTAATTTCAAAAAAAGCACAAACCAATCCACCAGATATAACAGTGAAAGCAAGACAATTAAGATCAAACCGTACAAAACAATCAGAGTAATTCATAAACCATAATCAAGAAAGCACCTGAGAGATCAATCCAACGATTCAAGCTACATCGCAATGCCATTTATCGTCCACATAATAACAACAAAAATTCTCAGATGCTTAATCACACAAAACAAATAGAATACAATCGAGAACGAAAAAGCACAGCAACAAACACGCGCACAATAAAATCTTTCGAGAAATACGCATGCAGATCGAAAACCCGAAAGCGTGAACCTCGATGGAAATAGAGGTCCTGACAGGTCGAAATACCGAACAATAACGAAGAAACAAGAAGCGATACACGCAAAGATCGAGATTGCGAACAGAATACCTGAGATTGAAAAAGATAAACCTCCGAAAAAGCAAGGAATTGGAGAAGCTGTGGAAGTTAGGGTTTCGCAGAGGCAGAGAGGGAGAAGTTTTCGATGGGCTTCTGCTGCATAATCTAAAACTGATCGAAATAAATTTGCCTCGGCTTGCGGCTATTCATATGGCTTGGCCTTTCAAGGGGTAAAATGGTCCTACCAATCTTGGATATGATATATGTGTGAGAGGATCATTATTGTTATTAGGCTTAAATATTATTTTCGTTCCTCCTCTCAAAAAATATATATACTATTTTCGTTTCGGGCCTTCCATTTTAATTATTCTACTTTTAAAATTATTATTTTTAGGCTTAAATATTATTTCGCTCCTCCTCTGTCAGAAAATATATATATTATTTTCGTTTCGGGCCTTCCATTTTAATTCCTCTATTTTTAAAATATCTATTTTAATATTCTAACTTATATTAAAAAAATTTCATTGTGGGTCAGTTTTGTGCTAAAATTTTACAAGTACGATATTAAATTAGTCACTATTTAAGAATATAATGACCAAAATAAATATTTTGAAATTATAATGATTAAGACGAATAAAGAAAATAAAACAAAAATACAATAACTAAAATAGTGTTTATACATTAATTTTTATACCAACTAAATTTTGCAGTTTATTTTATTAGTTGGAGGGGCTTTTTAAATCCATATCTCAAAACTTATGAGTAAGGGAGGAGAGGATCTATGTCAAAAACTTATAAGTAAAAGAAAATTGACTCTAACCTTGTTTTTTCTAAACCTTATCAATTTTATGTCAAATATATGTTATGCAACTCATTTGACATGTAAGAAAATATTATTTTCAACAAATTTATTCATGATTAAAATTGATATTTTTCCATTTATGAGATTAAATTTTAGAGCTGTCAATTACCAATTGGGTGGAGTGAGGTGCATGTTTAAAAAGTCCAACACCAAAATAATCTATTAGTGAAAATCATATAACTAACCCTAGTTTGGACATGCAAATCATATTGATTTTTAAATGATTTCCGTTGTTTGGTGCAAAAAAAAGGGAAGGAATTTGAAATCACTAAGTCATTTAAAATCGATTTTTTGTCCAAAAATTTTCCGAGAAAAAATAGATTTTCTATTTTTCTTTTTTAATTTATTCATGTCACTCCACTCTACACCTATATAATTATTTTCTGAATATTTTTTCTATGCAAATTGTCAAGTATACTACAACTTTTTTTTTTCTTTTGTTTTTCTACCTATGTCTTTTTGGATCACCATGCAATTAAAATCCAAGTTCATTTTCTATTTTATTTGATGGTCTTGATCAGATTTATTTTCTTTTCATTTCAATTTGTATAAGACTAATTAGGGTCAAAAGAATTTCAGTTACAAAAAAGATGGATTTGCAAATAGATAGGTAGTTTGATGCATTTAAAATTTCTCTTTCATTTTTTTAAACTAACTTCTTTTATATATATATATATATATATATATATATGAAGTTTTGTAATTCTTTGTGCATGTTATTGTGTTTTAGTATGACATTTGTTATATTCGTTGTTTTTAAAATAAGGAAGTATGAGCACAACAGTCAAAAGAAAATAAATGAAAAATACGAGGGAAAGTGAGTTAATGGTTTAAATTTCTTTTAGTTATAAACATATTGATTATTTTCGTTTAGATTTAAAAAGTTTTTTGTTTTTTTTAATTTAATTGAAAGTTTTAATTTATTAAGTTGATTTGATTAAATGATTATATTTCATACGAAAATATTATATTATTATTAATATAATATTACAAAATTATAAGGGCATAATAGTCAAATGATATGCTTTCTTTTCAATTCTCGTGAACATCCAAACAAGAAATTTTTATTTTAATTATTTAGAATCAATTTGGTTCCAAACAGAAGGAGGAATTCAAAATCATTTCCTACCAATTCCAGAAACGAGCATAAAAGTATAATTTTTTCGAAAAGTTCTTATTTTTTTAGTTCAAATTTTGTTCAACTTGATTTCTCCAGTAAAATTTCAAAGAAAGACTGTTGACAACCAGGGGAGACATCTATTTCACCTGTCTTAGTATCTATATTATAGTTTTGTTTTTCCTATTTATAATAATACTTCGAGATACACTAGATGATAAGAGTATTTTTTATAGTCGACAAATGTAGGTGTAGAAATTTAAACCTTTCGGCCTGCTTTAAGAGCTAGCTAACGTGACAGTACTGAAATTATGCCAACTTAGATGGATCATCTAATTCACTTCATCAATTACTTAACTTTAGTGCAGCTGGTTGGTTATCAAAATATAAATATAAAAACAATGGATTAAATAAATAATAACAATGAATTAAATAAATTTTACTTTACCAAAAAAAACATTAACAACACTTTCTCAACAACCACAAAATGATTTCCTCTAGTCGTCATGTCCATCGACATGAATGCCAAAGTCGTGTCACGCCATGCTTACCGTTATAATATCTTAAATGTGTCATGTGTAGAAGATTTTGACCCGAAGTTTATACATCCAAAATGCTTACTAATCTTCTGACCCCCATTTCACACGTTCTTGGCTATGACCGTATCATATCTAAACTATATTTGACATTAGGGGACATAGATAGAGAGAGAGAGGGAGAGAAAGAGAGGCAAAACGGCATTGATTAAGACATCAAAACAAAATTTGAATGTCCAAACAGAAAACAACCAAACGAGATCAGATATATCAACAAGGTTCATACCACTATGGACCTGCTCATAAATTTTCGTGCAAATGCACACAACATTCTGTAACCATGCAGAGCTTGAAGTGCAGTTGCTGGTAGGGTCAGCCATGGAAGTGGAAGAGAGAATAGGATCCAAGCTCAGGAGGATTGACCTACAAGAACATCTTTATAAGGGGTTGGTCCCATGACTTGCCTGCCTTTTTCTTCATCGGCCTGCCGTTTTCTCCTCCTTTGCTCCTCTAGAATTAGCGGAACCTGGCCTTCTCTTTCTCCAAGAAGCCGCTCGTATGCCCCTCCTCGAAGCTTTTCGAGTCGCAGTCCGTCGAGCTGCTGCATCTTGAACACTTTAAGTACGTTTGCCCATCCGCCTAATATGAGCGATAAGCTCCCGAAAATGCCTAACCAAACCCAGTTTCTGCCCTGCATTCACATACTCATCATTACACGAAGCTTCTGTAGAATGCCATTAATTCTGGAGCAATATTATGGATCCATTTGGAAAGTAGAGTACACAAATTAAGTACTCATCAGAATGTGCAAAAACTGCGATAGCAAAATTAAAAGGTATAGCCATATTTCCTTATTTTGTTTTAGTAAGACACAAAGTGGAATTCCCGTATGACCTCTTGGTCGAGAATATATGCCTTAATTAGTTAAGCCATGTTTAGATTGACACCATGACATTATATCATTATTA